GAGAAAAGAGGAGAGAGGATATAGGGACACTGGATTTTATTAGAAGAAAATGCATTAATTATACTGAAAATATTTTCGTTTGAGAAAAAGTCCTTGAAAGATAGAAAAAAAGGCAATGTTTTTCTGGTTTGCTATAGTCAAAAGCCTCCCAGCATGTAGCACCAACTTTAAACTGATAGTGCAGTTATATGGAAACTTAGCATCAAGAGCAACTGGAAAGAATAGTGTCCAAATAAGACAGACACAAATGCAAACAAAGTGGAATACAGTAGTTTGTCTTCTAACTTACAGCTAGGAATTATTTCTCCTATTTTAAGTAGCCTTTCAGAAACCACTATGGTGACAGGATCACCCACATTTACTCTATTCTAAAGTCTTCCCACAGTGTCAATCACTGTGTTATACAAACGCCTGCACATATCTAAACCTGGCACTGAAGAATTAAGTAGTGTTTCCAAAGTTACAGGAAACAGTTTGAATCCAGGGTCACATTCTGCAGACGCAGGATTCATCACACAAGATCTGCAAGCACTGGTCCTTAAGGCTACAAGATTGATTCTCCTATACAGTAGCTGTTAAGAAAACCATGGCTCAGGTAGCATGAGGTCCTTCCTCATTCAAGCTGCCTTTCTTCTACAGAAAGAAATCAGCAAAACAAAGCAAAACGATTCTCCCGTGAACTACACATTCACTGTGTTAGTATTTAAGCTACAAGACAATCAAAGCAAAACTAGCAATCTGGAAACTGGCCAATGTAAACAAATAAATACACCACTTACAGGAGAAAAAACACAAACACACACAAAATCCCCTGAAACGTAACAAAAATGTATTAGAGAAGCTGTGGGTCAGAAAGGAAAGCGCTGTCCAGTGGCTGGAAGGTGCATTGTAAAGACAGTTTTACACTGATTGCATTCATTTGCATAACAACCAATTTAGAAAAGGTAATTAGTAACAGTATGTCTGAGAAACATAATTTCACTAGATACATATTATCGAGAGAGAGACATGATTTACTGCATATTTAGCCTTCTACAAGGTAGGAAAATGACATTAGAAAAATGGCCAAGCCATCATATTATCCCAAACATCCAAATCTTCTTACTGCTTTTTCATAGAGGATCTTCTGATTATGGATTAAAGCATAATTCTAAGTTTGCATTAACATTTGTTTGCAGTAATTCAGTCACCCCACTCAAGTATTTTTGAGCATCAGAAGAAAAGTAGCATCTTTGATTTATTTTTAAATGACAAAATAAGTCTATAAGCCTTAAAAAAGTAACTTGCTTTCCCACCCTACTTGCATTGCAAAGCCATCAAAGCCACTAAACTGACTTTCTAAGTTATATCTGTCAGTTGTATCATTATTCAGAGAACATAACGTCCAAAAGCCACCGAAAACTTCCAAACCTTGTAGCTTGTTTGATGAGTCTAAACTACTTGAATAACGAAATCAGACAAGACCTAAGAACAGGAGTCTGTGCTGGTATCAAACGGTACCCAAACTAACATTTGCTTAGACTAGAGCCAATATATTCTTTGGAGAAGTCAGAGATGCACTTTCTGCATTAAAAAAACTTCTGGGAGGCAAGTTACCTCCCTGGAAATACAGCAGAGGAAACCTTCACCTAAAGGGACACTGTCAGATACAAAATACATCATATGGAAATAGAAAATATCTGCTACTGGTACAAAGCATTCTTCATAAAAAGCAGTATCCCCTTTGTTCAGTGTTAATCCAAATGCTGCAAAGCGGTGGTTATGTTCAAACCAACAGCACTTCCTGTTAACTTTAATAAAAGGCCACTAAAATATTTCTATACTATTTTGTAAATAGTTTCTTAAAATATCTGACAATGTCCCTTTGAATAAGAAGTATGAACAAGCTGCATCTACTTTTGAATTAAAAAGAAAAAGAGAGAAAAATAAAGCCAACGTTACACAGGGTAACCTTTAAAGCCCCAGATTTTTATCATTAGACAATGTTAAGTCTCCCTAAAAATACTTAAAATTCTATTTTTGACACTTCAGTACATATAGATGGTGCCAATCTTCACTAGCAGAACACATCATTGTCCCCCTCCCATAATAACGAGCTAAAGTTTTGACCAGATTTGGATGTCCTTACCACTAGGCTGCCAAATCCTACTCGGAATAAGGAAATATGCCATAATCCCGAGCCAAGACCTTTCCAAAACGCAGCTTCCCATTGTCGCTTCAATCGGTGGAGCAGCATTTTTGATGAATTTGGCATCTCATTTTCCTAAAGCGGGCACCGCTGAGGATACCAGTAGGATACTATCATATGTTTAAGGATAGAGGAAGTACTAAGCTTGAGTCTTTCCTGAGGTCCTGCACACAAATGTACTTATGAAATGCACATCATTTAAAAAAAAAAACTTCTACTTTTTGGTAAGCTATCAAGGTTACACACACATCAATTTTAGTTTTACCACACCCTCAAGTAGTCCCATCCCAATTTAACTATTTTTTTTTCTGCTGCAGCTTTACCCACAGACTTTAAACTTTGCATGGGGCAAAAATGTAGTATATAGTGTTTTCAAAGAGGGAAAAGTAAAACAACCTGTTAAAAAATCTGGCAGTTTCATTCATTTAAGTTTCTTTTTCTTTCTTTTTTTTCTTTTTTTTTTCTTTTTTTCTTTTTAATAAAAATGTACCAAGGAGTAAACCTTAAAGAAATATGATGATACATATAAAAATAGTTTTCAGTGGCTCTGGAGGGAAAAAAATAAGAAAAGGAATTAACAGAAAAAGTAGCAAATAATATTTTTTCTTTTTTCTTTCTTCACATCACTGCGCATCCTCTAGAGGTTGTTCTGGGATCCCCCTAAAATAAGACAGACACAGTTTAACTCAACTATGTTCTCACTAGCTCTTCGTATTGTAAGTCTAGGCTCTGGTTATCATCTCAATTGTAAAAGCATTTTCCCTAGTTTAGTTAGATTCAAGGACACTTAAATAGAGAGAAAGCATTGCACAAGCCATGGTCTACTGTAAGAATTTAGATAATAATGACCACAGATCAAGAGAACCACTTGCTCAAGTTTCAAATAATTCAGTATCTTTTCCAGTATCAGCTGTATACATGATTTTTCTCTCCTTTTCACTCTGCCAACTGTTGACCAGTTATTTCACAATACTTGATGAAGTGTTATGGAAGCACAAAGATGGTGTTACTAAGGAAAGCCAAATTTCAAATGTAGTAATTATATGCTATCAAAAAATAAGCCAATACCTGAAACTTGCAACACTATTCCCCCTTTTCCAGTGTTTAATGGTTATATTCTCAGAACATTTTCTCTAGACTAAGAATGACCCACGCATTTTTTAGAGAAGCAAACACAGGAATGGGAAGAACGTTGACCGCTAAAACTCATCTTGCTAATCTTAAATATGGATTAGCAAGTCCAAGTTTCTGCAACATTATAAATTAGTGATTCATAGGATGTTTTCATGTATACCCTGGCATCCAGACCTGACTTTAGAAAGTTCAGAGCTGCCAAAAAGCAAAGGGACGCCCATAGCCTAATGCCTGATTAATCCAGCTGACCAGGCACAAGCTAAACGTCTCTTTTTAAACCATCTTATTACCTGTTGGTTGAAAAGGTCTTCCTCTCCAAACTCTGCTTCATCCTCTTCCTCCTCATTCTCTCTCACGACTACTGATTTAGTAACAATTCTCACTGCAACTTCCTATACAAAGGGACAGATAAAAAGCTGGTCAGTATACTTACAGATATTTAATCAGTGTTTTAAATTCTCGTATTTTAAAAGGGGGAAATTTTAAAATAATGATTTTTCAAAATGCACTGAAGCAAGTGAGATAACCCATCCCACAGCCCTGTTCTAGGGGCACAACCTACCTCTCCGTCGGAGTTGACGAGGTACATGCGGATGTTTCCTCCGGTACCCCAGCTGCTTTGATTCTTCCACACGAGAACAGCAGGAGGGCTGTGAGATACACCTGCATCTGCACCCCAGATCTAGGGAGAAAGACACTCTTTATCAGATATTGGTGCACATTTTTTAAAATATATTTTCATACATATTTAAATATATACATATCATAAAAACCAACAACACTAGCCACAGTTAAAGAGAAAATAACTTAATCTAGTATTTCAGTCATCACTTCTTTCCTGCATATAGCAATCTGTCCAACCACACTCTCAACAGCTGCACTGTACGGACTAGAAACATCAAATGCAGCTTTTATGAGTACTGATTTAGTCTTTTATATAGGTATTTGGTGCAATTGGTACTTTAGTAGAAATAACAGGAACAAATTAAAGGAAAGCTCTTTCCGCCCCCTCCTGAAAAAGGACCTGTACAGACTGAATATGAAATGTAGAATAATAGGAAGAACTGTTCTACTACAGTTAAGGCTGAGAACCTCTAGTCTTAAATAGAACGTGCATTTGTAGATTAGTAGTTTAACACTTTTAAAACAGGAGAGAGGCCCACGAGAGCAGACATGTTACACCAGGTCGAGCTATACTAAGTGCTAGATGTACAACTGCCACAGTATCAACAAAAGAAGGTGAAATGTAGAATAATAGGAAGAACTGTTCTACTACAGTTAAGGCTGAGAACCTCTAGTCTTAAATAGAAGGTGCATTTGTAGATTAGTAGTTTAACACTTTTAAAACAGGAGAGAGGCCCACGAGAGCAGACATGTTACACCAGGTCGAGCTATACTAAGTGCTAGATGTACAACTGCCACAATATCAACAAAAGATGTTCTATGACTTACTGTTACAGTCTGCCCAGCCCGGAGGACATACTTTGGAGTAAATTTGTAAGCAATTTCTTCTCCATCTCCAATTTGTCTCTTCAATCTCCAATTACCCAAAGACTGATCCTAATGGAGAGAATTACAAGTTGATCTCTGTTTATCAATAACATCTCTATTTAGCTCTTCATTTGTGTTTTCTAGGAGTTGACACTCACCTTCTCCGAGTTGTTCTTAAGTTGAACATACTTGCCCTCCAAGTCTATCTCTTCAATGCTGATACTTCCAGTAGCTGAAGCTTGTTGGGACATTTGGAAGCTACTGCTACTACTGCTGCCACTAATACTTCCAGTGCCAATTCCGCTCGTCCCACTGCCCGAAAGCTCCTCCGCTTCCATCCTTTTTCTTTTGCCTCGGGAAGAGCGAATAACTGACGCGCTGCTACTGCTGCTGCTGGAGGTAGCCCGAGAGACTGTAACACGGGACGAGGGACTTGGAGACAGCTTCAGCCTAGACAGAGACAAGCACGTTGTAGGCAAAATAAAGAAAATGGAGTTAAATATGCACATATTTTTAACTTAGCCAGGGAAGTACATACCAAATAAGATGCCACAATATACTCAGTAGTCAGACTATATTACTACATTATTTCCCAGAGTTAAACACAGCCTCAGTTTGTGTCTGTCTGTCTGTCAGGAGAACTTGCATACAAGCAAAGGGAGCTATATAGCCAGAGGTGACTTCTCAATATATCATGCAACATGGCAGCAGTGCTGCACACTCCTTAACCTCCCCACCAGCATACCTACCTCATGAGCCTCAGAGTACAAGAACAGAAAAATGAATGTCAAAACCAGAATGATAAATTTTACTGTATTTTATGGCTATCATAATATCTTAACCAAGACAGGTGTTCAGGTGACAACACTTGCAAGTGTCACATGCAGCATACTGAGGTATGAAGCCAGTATGACTTTAATGAAGCAAAATTTGGACATTGCTGCTCAAACAGGAAAACACATAAGCAACAAAAACACCACCTGCTAATCCTAACAGAAGCATGTGGCATCTGAACCTACCTTTCCTCTTCTCCTTCCAGGAGTTTTCGGTAAGCACTGATTTCCATGTCCAGTGCTAACTTAACATCAAGCAGCTCCTGGTACTCCGTAAGCTGCTGCTGCATCTGGTCCCTCATTTCTGTCATCTCCTGCTCCTTGGCATCCAGCATCTTCCTGAACTTATCCCGCTCCCCAGCCATCATCTCCTCCAGCTCCCGAATACGATCTTCTGCTGCACTAGCCTAGGGAGAGAGCACAGGGAAACACAGATGGCATTTACGTGGTTAAAGCAAGCCAGTTGAAAATCCACCTTCCACCCAAATTAAAATAACAAATATTTATCACCATAAAATTTAGAAAGTGTTAAGAATAGGACAGATATTTGAATTCATCCAAATATTGCCGAGCTTTACAGATATTATTAGAGATAAAAGCAGATGTAGTCTCCTTACCTGTTTCTGAAGGCTGGAAAGCTGGTAGCTGAGAGTTTCTATTCTCATGCGAGCCTCCTTCAACTCCTCCCGAGCTGCACCAGCAGCTTTGTCGTTCTGGTCAGAGGCAAGCTTGGCATTCTCCAGCTGGAAGACAGTTTTATACAAGTCACTTGTACTGACTTAGCTATCCTGCAAATACCTCGAAGAGGCAAGGAGGACCAGAACTGCACACAGCTTCCCATATGACATCCTGTCACAGGGACAAAACACCTTTTGTTTTGTTCCTCCTTTCCCTAGTTCTTAGCACTGTTTGCTTGTTGTTGTATAATACCAAATTCTCAGATTTAGCCTTTCCATTGCTTTTTAACCGCAGACCACGGTCAGAGCAAGAAGCAATCTTTGTTTTCTGACAAGGAGGATCTTAGGTCAGTCCATAGAAGCTCAGCAGCTAAGCTTAATGATGTGCTTTAGAACCATAGTCCACAAAAGCTCAAGCTCCCTGAGCAGGAACTGTTCCCCTAGAAAACAGTCAAATATTTTAAAATATATTTCTCAGACTATGAATTAATGGGAGCCTCAAAATGAAAAGAGAAAAACAGTGCTAGCAGTACAACAGTTTCTCCCAGGCAAGGGAGAAGTGGCTATAATTAATGGTAGGTATCTTCAGTAGCCAGACAACTAGCAGCTGCTTTATTCCTTCAGGGAGGGGAAGGAATATAAATATACCTGCAGCCAGGAATTATACCTGTAATAAAGTGCCTACTCCCTCCGTATCCCCTGACTGCCAGGGCAAAGCTTGTTCAAATTACAATTACTTGTAATTAAAGACGGCAGGATGGATGAAAGTTTTCTCTCTCCTACCTTAGCCTGGTAGGTCTGCTCCAGCTCCATCTTGTACAGTTTGACTTGTTCATCATGCTGATTTCGCAGATCCTCCAGGGCCTGAGCCATTTTGGATTCATACTCCTGCTGGCGGCTAGTGTCTACCTCAACCAAACGATGTTCGTGCCGTTTCCTGGTTTCCCTGATTTCCTGCACACACACACAATAAGGGGGACAAAGTTGCACATTAGGGTAAACAGGAGAATCTATTTCATTTAGTCCAACATCATTTAAAAAGTTCCAGTATTGCTAAGGATTACTGTATGTGTTAACAGATGCAGGTCACATTTCTCATCTTGCAGGAGAATTCATAAAGGTAATCTAACTTTAAAAGTGCTGTGACCATGAAGGAGTTGAATATAATCATTATAGAGAGAAGCCGAGTCTTTAATTTTCACTCTTAATAATATGCAAATTCCCTTTTTCTATAAACTAGATGACCTTTACTCATTAGATTTTGATTACTAGCAATAAATTAGCAACCCAACCCTTTACTGTCATTTTTAGAAGATATAAATACCCATTTTTCTGGTTTCTGCTGAGAAAGTTTTGTGTTTTAGAGAAGCATGAACTCTCAGTGCCTACAACACTGATCCAAACTAGTGATACACAAGTTAATCATGTTGAGCTGTGTACAGACCACACCAGGCTGCCTGTGTGGTATGAGGAGGATACCACTCCTGCCTTCAGGGGAGGCCAAATAACAAGAAAGTGGCTGTGATTCCTGGTAGGATGCCTGGAGGACGGTCATGAGACAGAAATGCAGGCAAGAGCAGCAAAATTCACTTTGTACACTTGAACAAGGGGTCAAGCAGGCTAAGACGAATTCTGTTTTACTATTTAAACCCTTTACAACAAGGACAATATTATTGACTTCACTAACCAACTGCTAACTAGCCCAGGTTGTAGTCAGTGTGAAGAACAGCTGCATAAACATTAAGGCAGATGGGGTTACTAGGTCAATAGTACCTCCTCAAACACGTTCTTCCTGAAATCCAGATCTTCTTGCAAGCTCTGGCACCGATTCTCCAGGTCCACTCGCATGAGAGTCTCTTTCTCCAGCTGCTTCTTTGCAACAGCATGGCCATCTTCAGCCTGATTAAAAAAATAATAATCAATTATTTAATTTTTACTGTAACCTTGTTTTCCCACCTGCAAGCCTCTGTGGTCTTAGGAATCTTAAGAATTTTTGTTTCATATCCAAGAGAGCAGAGAGAGGTTAAGCAAAAAGGTAAACAGATCTCCCATATTGTTCAGACTACAAGCCGACAGCAAAATAACAAGTTCTACAAGACACCACCTTTCTAGTACTAAAGCCAAAAGACATTCACCTTAGCCAGCTGGGCACGCAGATCAGCCACCTCTGCTTCCAGAGTGCGTTTCTCATTCAGGACAGTATTGAGTTCTGCTTCACTTCTATGGAAGAGCACTTCAAGATCCTTAATGCGACCTTGAGCCACAGAAAAATCTGCATCTTTCTTTTTGTAGCTGAAAAAGAAAAATAGATCTATTTACAAATGTGTGCACACACACCTTGTGGATGCCTTGGTTACAATTAGGGGTTTCTGTCATTATACCCATTTTGTTACAATTATAATCCCTTATGTCCCAGCAGATGGCTCCCAGATTAACCTGCAACTGCAGGAAGGAAAATAATCATAAACTACTAAGAAAAAACAGTTTGTACCAGTGGGTTGTAAATGTATTTACCCAATAAAGAACATTTCACAGACAGAAAAGGAGAAAAGAAAACAATTTTGACACCCAAGGGATGATGATAAAGCTGCATTACACACAAAGTGTAAAGAGTATTCCTTTTTCTTCTCATTTTGAGCTGCACAGCGTATTTCATTGGTGAGATTTATCACTGTGGATGGAGACCCTGAAGAACAGAGCACATTAAACTCCCACAGAGGTTGGTAAGCATCCCATGCAGTGTTTGCAAAGTAAAAAAAGATGAAAAATCACTGTTGTAGATTACATAACCCTTGTTCCTTCCTCTCCCCAGTCCGTATCCTGTGTCTTGCTTCCTAGACTTGAGATCACTCCTACAGTCCACATCTGGAATCTTCATTTGTCCTATACTTCTCACAAACTGCAATTCATTGAATTATTCTATGAAGAAAATCTTCCTTATGTGGCATCACTACATCTGCAGAATACCTCTTCATATACTCCAGCATGATGCACATCTCCTTTTTGGCAACTGCAGAATATGTTGATGCGCTCTTCTTTTGTGATATGATCTAGCCAGCAGGCCCATTTGCTGTCTCTGCATTTCTGGGTGTAGCTCCCGGAATTTCTCTTTAACCATAACTTTTTTTCTAAACCACTGCTCCAATTTATCAATTGTGAATCCTGTTCTACAACATACACACAGCGTCTCAAGTTCAGCAGCTTGCAAGAGACAAGCAGACAAAACAACCAACTTGTACTTAAGAGAGAGCTGTTTAGCAGTAGCTAGAAGTCTTCAAAATCGGCTCAATAGACACACGCCACACCGTGGGTGTATACGAGCTTCAAGTAATCCTGTCTGGAAGTGTTCTGACTTTACAGCTCGTAATTGGCAAGTGTGACTTCCCACAGAGTGTGAACAACCATGTACATTACACATCCTGCAACTTCCTCCCACTTGCATAAGCCAGGTAGCTTGTCCACACATGCCCACGGAAGGGAAGGAATAGATACAGGGAATGCATGTACGGAGAAATGTACCTGGGCAGTGGGTAGAACAAGATACATGAACCAAGTCTCCAGTAACTACTAGAGCTCTCTTTTAGATCTTCCCTTAAAACCCAAGCAAACAGACTGTTTGCTGGCACCAGCACAAGAGGGACAACCTCTGTGACCATCTAAGGCAAATCTGCCATGCAAAATATAATATCTGAAACCAATGCCAGGACTACTGGTCAAGGCTTCTAACAGGGAAATCAAGCACAACAGGAGCATTGCATAGGACTGGCTGGTATTCATTGCACTTAACTTTATGTATTTTAACATACATCAGTTTCTCAGTGCCCTTCACCCCCTATGTGCACGTTCACATAAGGAGACAGCAATGAGACAGAGCAGGCACAACCGATTCTTTCAGCATCTATACATCAGAAGCATTTATTTAATCAGTTTACTAACCTTGCATCTATAAATACATCTGTGCATATACTAACCTGATGATCTGCTCTGACTAGCTGGGCAAGCAAGCCAGGGAATTTCCCCCAATAAGAGTTATCTTCTGTATGAACAAAAACACTTCCCAAAGACACCACTGAGGGATTTTAAGAAGCACAAGTACTACTGTTCACACTGCAAAGATTGTCCATTAGCAATTTTTTTTTTTTAATGCAAGTATAGCACACAGGACTTTCCTTACTTTTTGTTGAACTCTTCAAGTTCTGCTCTCAGTTTGCCTATTTCAATCTGTAGTTTAGCCCTCTCTTTGGCAGTTTCATCCAGAACTCTTCGGGCATCAGCCAGTTCAGACTCATACAGACTCTTGATTCCACTGACCTAGGGTTAAAGGAGAACAATCATTCAGACACGAGAACATCCCAGACTGAACATCAAAGAATCAAAATAAAGCACCAGCTTCTGCTCAACTTTCTTTGAAAAAAAGATGCATGATCTGATTTGTTGTTTATGAATGCTGTACATAGAAACATTCTGAATTAATGTGCTCCTGTAGTTAAAAGTGATCTAGTTCTTAAGATAAGATGTAATGTTTATTCTCAGTTGAACATAACATACTGCCCGTTTGAAGTGCACAAATCTTCTGAAGAGGTAAAGTGCTACATACGATTATCATATTTTAAATCACTCTCCTTCATTTCCAATATCACAGATTGTCAGGACTGCAACTGCAGCAGTTTCATCTTCAAAAATAAAATGCAAAGGATGTATTTTTTGAAACACAAGTCTGAGGTCCAATTCAACTTTTCTGCCCTTGCACTACTGGCTAAAGAAGAACCTGAAACACGAAGAATTTGTGTTTTGGTGTCCAGAGATGACTTTTCACCTCTCTGCCTCAGAGGATGAGCATCTACAGACCTCTCCCCACTCCAGGGCCACAAAAAAAATCCCCCCAAAATAGCTATTCACACCAAAGCCAGCCAGCTGCAAGTCTTCCATCCTTTTAATGTATTTATTTATGAGACAGGAGCATCTGAGAGGATGCTCTTATTCACCGCCTGACAATGAAAGTCTCTTTTACTAGCACTTTAAGCTACTCTAAACAGAAGCAACTGAAACACATAGCAACTTCCAGCACAGAGAGGCAGAAGTCACCCGAGAGCAGTAACACTGTCAATCACTGCAGGAAATAAAGAACAGAGCAGAACTTTACCAAAGGGATGCAAAAAGATTGTAAATCCATGATAAAGCAAACTTTACATAATCAAACTGAACCAAAGGACAATTCAGGATGTTCTTTCCAAATCATAAGAAAACTACAACTTGTTTAGTTTCAGCACTGGTATGGGGGTACTAAGTGCGTGATAACGTTTGGAATCCGTACTGAGCAGGCAGTTGCAAGGCCTTCCATGGAGATCTACCTTTATCTGTGAATTGGGACACCCTCCCCAGCACTGTGCCAAGTGGGGGGGTTGGTTGGCACAGGATAGGTGGGACTGTCCCCAGCAGGGTCACCGACCACATCCTTCCTCTACATGGGAAGGAGAGTCCCAGCGGGGGAAGTAGATACAGCAGAATAGGGAAAAGCAAAGCATGGCTTAGGTTAAAAAAAAAAATAGTAATAATAATAAAAAAAGTTTCAGTCAGTTTGCCGCCAAGATTACAGGAAATGGCCCAGATTCCATAGCATGAGGGGGACAATTAGCAAAGAATAC